TTAATTGATTAATTAAAAATATTTCTGCTAATTAAATACAAATATAGATTAGTTAAAAGTAGATAATATAATATAATGGTGCACCTAATGGCACACCATGCACCAAAAAGTTTTAGTGATGCACCAGTGGCACGGCATTAGATTATAATTGCATCAGCAACCCTAACCAGGTGACTGGCGAATCACCAATTAATATACTAAACATAGTTATTTAAGCTGTTTTTGAGTTATAATAAGGGGTGATATTAACTAGAATACAAGTTAGTAATATCCATAAAATTAAATTAAATTAAAATTAGTGTTTCTATTTAGAAAATTTCTAATTTACACCACAGGTGATTATTACCTGTAGTAAAATTATCTTAAAATTTTGCTTATGAAACCACTTTTGAGACTCTAAGTAAAAAAATTTCTTGTGAAATTTTACTATAAACTTTACTAAACTCTAACCCTAATATAAGCTCTAACCTTTACTCTAAAGTTCCAAAAAAAAAATTTTTTTATTTATTAAATTGTTTATTTATTTGTTTACATTACACAAAATTATATATTATAAATCACAGATAATCATCACCTGTGGTATTTATTAGTTATTTTCTTCTATTTAACTTTCTAAAAACTATTTATACTTGTTTATTATAAAATTTATTATTAAACTCTAATTCTAACTCCAAAATAATACTAACATTAATTTTATTTTATTTTAATTTTATTTAATATAAAATTTGATTTAACTTGATAATAAATATAATTAAATAATTTTTAATTACTAATTAAAAACTATCTTATTATCTTAAATTAAACCAAACCTCATTTGGTTTCTTATAATAATTAATAATTTTTTTATTATAATTATATTTAAAATTAGTATATTTGTAACTATAGACTACTAGTATATTTGTAACTATAGACTACTATAACTATAATTCAAATTAAATATAACAAAATAATTTTTTTATAAAAATAAAATTTTAAAATTGAAATTAAAATTATATTGAGGTAAGATATAGTTTATACAAAATTTAACAAAAAATTTTTTATATTAAAATATAAAAAAATAATTTTATAATCAAAATTTTGTATTATTACAAATTTAAAAAGTTTTTGATTTTGAGTATATCTAATCTTGAAATTTGATTGGCTTTATTAAATATGGCTACAGTAGCCATGGTTATAAATATATTAATTTTATTTAATAAAACATATTGCTAAAGTATTTTTATTTTTAAACCAAGTCTATTTTCTTAATTTAAAAAAAAATTAAAGTTTTGCAAAAGCTATTTAATAAAACAAAAAAAAATGTTTCGACTTAGAAAATTACTTCATATCACCAGTGGTTTTTCATCACTATACATAGTTTTGAAGTAGGGGAGAGTTTGACTATTTTTACTTAATACATCTGACCCCTGTTTTTTGGGGCAATTCTCGTTAGAAGTGCCTTAAGTACAGAAATAGGTAGTGCAATTACGAATGGGAAATTTCAACATAGATTTTTTAATGTAATTTAGTTCAATCCTTTTGCACTAATCTTGCATAGGTTTATTCAAACTTTGACAAACATGAATATTCATGCAGGTTACTTTTTACCACGAATAAATCTTGATTATACGATTAATAGTATAATTTGTTTATTATTTCATTCAGTGCACGCAAGCATCATTTCGAAAACAATCAATCGTGCAAAAATAAATGCGGATATGAGCGAAATGAAGCTAACAGAATTTTTAGTTCAATCTCATTAATATGCAAAAAATAAATTACAAAATATATACATGAATTATTTCTGCTTCTTGCGAATGCCACCACGTTTAGGTCCTGCCCCACTTGACATAGTGGCTGCTGCATCCGATGTTTTTCGTGTTCTGGCTCCACCACGTTTTGATGAAGTTTGTGCCTTAAAGGGTTCTCCAACGTCTGGTTTTCTTGTAGTTCTAGTTCTTCTCGATTTTTTATTATCTAAATGAAATGATCACAATGAAACAAAGTTATTTCTAGATAAACGAATAAAAACAAAAACGTATTAACCTTCAGGTTCCGGCGAAGACTCTTGAGAAGTAGTATGTGATAGTGAAGGTG